CGCTGAAATCATAGTCAGAGCTGAAACATTTGAGAAGAACGTCCAGATGGCTGAACAAGAGAATGTCAAGACAATGAGAGATTATTAAATTGTTTCTGAAGAATTCACAAGAACAAATATTGAACTCGACGAGAAACAAGACGATATGCGACAAATTTGAAAACGATATGTCTGAGATGAAGACTGAATTGGAAGCCCTTGAACAGGCTGCTAATACTTTTAAACAGTCGAAGAACACTTATGAAAAGAAGTTGACTGAATTGAATGAGCAACTTGGTCTTGAAAAAAAAACTGTTCAACAAGCTAAAGCACAGAAGAAGAAATACGCAGACAAACTCAGAGAAGTGATGGAGAACGAAAACAAATTTGGTGAATATAAGGAACAAGCTGAGAAGTCGATTAACTTGTTGACTGCTCAAAAGGCTGATTTACAGAAGGAACTCGAGAAAGAGAGAGCAATGAAACAAGAAGCCGACAAGGAAACTCAAAGACTTAGAGCTAAAGTCACCGAGGTTGAAGCTAAATTGGCGGACGCTGGTGCTATTGGAACTTCCATTGCTAAATTGAAAGCGAAACATGAAACAGAATTGGAAGAAGCACAAGACGCAGCTGCTAAAGCTAAGAAACAAGCTAAACAGTATGCCAAAAAGGTTGAAAAGGCCGAGAGAAAGCTTGCAAAATTTGAACGGAAAGAATCTATTTTCAACACTCATATTGGTAAGACACAAGCCGATTTGAAGATGACACGACATTCAGTCAGAGATAGTTAAACAGAGAATTGCTTGGTTAAAAGACAGGTTAGAAAGGCCGGTGAAGATCTGAACAACAAACAACTTGAAGTTGATCGGGTGAGTGCAATTACTTTTGAAGACTAAGAACAGGTTGATTCAAGTAAAACACGAAAAGATAAGGATAAATAATTATTATTATTGTTATAATTTTTTTTATATTAAAATCTAGTTTAAATGAAAGAGTCAAGTTATTATAAAATATTGTTTTATAGTTTAATTTCGACTAGATGCCTAGAGCCTATGAAAGATGGACTCTAACTTAGAGTCTTACTTAGAGTCTATGGGTAGACTCTAATAATTCCACAAGAAATGCTTTTTGCAAACAATTTTCATTTAGTGATGGATATTTCCAATGACAAAAAAATAATGATGTTCTATTTTTGATAAAAAACCAGGGTTTTTATCACAAATCGATACAAATTGATTACAAAAGGCTGAAAAATCACTTGACAAAGAAAAAAGAATTGACAAAATTCTATTTTTAAATTTTAGAGTATTTTTTATTAAGGTTTGAGAACCATCATTAGGGGATTTTGTTTACATTTCTCGAATAAATTAATTCAGTTGTTTTACCATAAACTTGGTTTTGCTGAAAATAGGAATTTGAGTAATAATTATAACGGCAATGCTTGACCTTAAAAACTTGGTAAAAATATTTGGGAAAAAAGCATAAAAAGAATTATAATCCGATAAAAACTGTTGTTTTATACTCTCTTTATAGACATGATATCGACCAAGCTTGAGATATCATGTCTCTTCAGTTCATAACCGAAAAATTGGAATTTAAAATGTGTTCAAAACTCTCCAAAAAGTGGAGTAAAAAACCACGCAAAGACGGAGAGGATAATTATGAAAGTCACAGAAAAAATAAACCCAAAGCAACAAAAAAGTCATAATTTACAGAAAATTTTGTTTAGAATGCGGAAAATGTTTTTTTTGTGTTTCGTGAAGATTCATTATTCTTTAAATTGGCGTCGGGAAGAGAGCACGTTGAGGCGATTGTTTCTACTTTATAAAGTGAAAGCTTTGTGACATTAAAAGCACTTGCAGTGCTTTTAGAAACACACCAGAAATCGTCCAATTGAAGAGTTTAGTGCATTTTCAACCATATTTTCAAATGTAGCAATCATCAAACGACTCTTTGCTCCGCCCGATAAAATAGCGACAGTTTCTGTATCTAATTTGGAAAGGAAGAGTAAAAAAGCTTTTTCTCCCATTGAAATTTCGGTGTTTGTCAGTCATATCAATGAATTGTTATAGCAAATTGAGTTATTGGGAAACTCGGGGTAACACATTCCATTCTAAAAATATAAATTGCCAATATTTGTGACAACTTCCATGTATTATACCATGGAGATCACCAAGTCTACGGCAGTACCATTGACGCGCTTCACTAGAGTCTCGAGCATTAAACTCACAATTGGCGAATTGGAGGAGATCCAGAACTGAATTGTTCGAAGAGACGTTTCTTAATCGAGTTCAGTTCCATTTTTTGTTTTTGGAAAAATAAAACGCTGTTTTTAGTCTTTGTCAAGTAATTTCTAATTATAAAAATAGAATGAGTGGTAATTCCCGAAAAAATAAACCTAAAACAGCTGGCCAAAAATCATTATTTGGGCATTTTGGCCAATCATCTTTCTGTCAATCAATTTAATCTTTGTCAAGTAATTATTCTGCCTCCTGTAAGTCATTTTTACTTTATCTGTAGAACTCAATAATAAGATAAAGAACAGGAGAAAGCGGAGAAATGGTGTTATAAATTATTTGAAATTATTTCTTGTTTACAAAGCATGTTTTTGAATAATTTAAAAATAAATTCTTAGTTTGTATTTTTTTTCAATTTGGAATTGAATAACAAGTAGTACCCCTCTTTGATGTTTTTCTATCTTGTCATTTCATATTCTAATTATAAATTGGTGTTTTTGCATCTATGTTTGACGTTTTAATATTAAATAGTGCTGTCTTTTGATAATTGTTTGATAATTAATTAATAATTATATACTGGTTCTGTATTTTGGATCTTATTATTGTTTCAGTTTAATAGTTTCATTTGATAGTAATATAATAGTCATAATATAGTTATTTGTTTAAATTAACCTTGTTTTTATATAGTTATTTAATAATTATTGTATAGTTGTTTTATTGTCTATTAAAATTGTGTGGTAATAATTGTCTGAGTTTCGTTGTTGATTCGTTGTTTATGATGTTTTAGAACATTTTCCCTATTTGTTATGTATATTATCCTGATTTTTCAATAAAATGATTTATTCGGCAATTATTATTATCTTTCATTGATTGTTTTTGAAGTGTTGTGTTTGAGGCGGTTTATGTTTTATGGTATAGTTTTGGTTTTTTGTGTGTAATTTCTTTTGTTTATCAAGAAAATGGTAAAAATTGGAAATACGTGCCAATCGTTTATCTCATTGCAAGTGTAAAAAGCTAATTTAATCGTCAACCGCCGTTTATTTTTAATTTGTAGTCCGAATTTAGCTTCTTTTCTTGTGTTTTTTGCGGCTATTTGTGAATCCAAAAATTGGCCTTGCCCTTTGTTGATAGCCTTTAAGGCGTAATATTTGTTAACTTTATGCTAATAATCAGTTAATAAGATGGTAAAAGTATAGACCAAATATTTGATTTTTATGAATAAAGTGGTAAAAAGCTTTGTGATGTTTTTAATTCAAAAAACGTTTATTATTGTGGTAAAGAAAAATAAAAATGTTTTAAAAAGACTGAAAAAACGGGTATTAATCAAATAAATTACAGGGAAACATTTTTGTTCAGCGGCATGTTATAGTAAAAAACCTAAAAAGTCCTGACTGTGATTATTATTGAATTAAATTTTAAAAATATTCATTGAAATTTTTAACGAAATAATTTGAACAACAAATTGTGTTTTAATTACTTATCTTGAAACATATAAAAATGAATGTTTTGGAAATTGTTAAAAGATAAATTATTAATAATTGTAATGTAAAAATTTATATTTATTTACAAATTTATGAATAACAATCATTTTATCAAAAATTACAATATACAAAAAATACATTTTTAAACATTCATAATATGTTTTTATACTTTTTAATGAATTTGAATTGAATCTATTTGAAAAACACTCAAAATGTTAATATTATAATATAACAAGCTTAACTAATCCTTTTCTTAATTAAAATAACACGAGAATGATATAAACATAAATTTCAATCAATCTGAATTTGATTGATAATTATAATATGTATGTTATTTTTTGTTATTAATGTTTACAAACAAATACAGAAAAACTTTCAATAAATTTGTGAATTATCAGAATTGTTTATTAAAAAACAAACATAAGCCATCTTTAACAATATAGTTTGACATACAAATATAACACCTTTGAAAACTGTTTATATATTGTTTTAATTTTGAACAAATACATGTATGTATTATGTATGATGAAAATAATGTCAATTAAACACAATAAACATACTATCAAAAATAACAAATTTATCAATAATTGGGTACTTTTGACAATTCATATTAAAGTGTGTTTGTTAACAATTGATTATTTAACAAATATATTTAAATATGGTCACATGTAAATTTTTTCACTCAAGTCAAGTTTCTTCATTTTTTTTTATTTTAAAGTTTTTTTTTCTTTAAAAAAACTTCAAAATAAGTTTCCATTTTATAATCAAATTACAAGTGTTATAATAATTTAAATGATATAATAAACGATCATGAATGGTGTACTATTACGATATTGTATATAATAATACAAATTATTAGTACAATGTGTTTTTTCTTTTTTCTTTAATTTTAATTATTCTATATTTTGTTTATGAAAAATGCACATTTTATATATAGATGATGATTTTGTATAATAGATTATTTACGACTGAATATACTATTTCGAATTTTTTCACGTTTTTTTTTCTTAAAAAAGTTTTAATGAAAAATAGCGGAAGACTTTCATTGTTGTGTTAATTGTAACTAACTAGCTACGTAAACGTATCCAAAGTCTCCGCAAGATCAACGGAAACTCTTTGTCATCAATAAATACAAATTCCCCGTTCACACAACTCAATTGCGGGTTTTATATTTATTTGTAAAAATAATTATTTTCATTTCTATATATTTTTATAATAAGAAATAATCTTTCGATTGCAAAATAATTAATATATTGTGATTGTATATACTATATATAATTAATTTTATAAATAAAAATATGTTTGTATCTTAATTAATTAAAATATATTAATTTACAATAACAATTTTGTGTTATTTAAAACAATTGTTATAATATTTTGTTTTAAAACAACAGAATTATTTAGAAATATCCAAAATAACATAAATTAAATCCTCTTATGTTAAGCATATAAACCTCTAATATGACATGATTCTATTTTTATTTTTTTCGGCTATTATTTTATCTTAAAAACAAAGTTATCTATATTTAACATTTTATTTTTTTATTACAAAATTTTTAAACTTAAACAAAATATACATTTTCACGCAAAGTGTCTCTCGCATTGTTTCGAGAGTCGCTAAAAAAGTTTAAGTGAAAAAAACAAAAACCACTATTTTTTTGAACTATAAATTAAATTGGAAGCTGCCACGTTTTAATATTTGTCAAGCTATTTTGTATTGTTTTTGGTGCCGGTTTTTTAAGCATTATAATGGTAAACAAAAACACAAATATTTTGAAACGAGATTATTCAAACAAAGAAGAATAATTATCGCTTTTAATATTTATAGTGTTTTTGTTGTTCAAAGTGCTCACAACTTGTGTAATAATTAAAATATATTATTTATTTATAAAATTGATAAAAGTCAATGTAGTTTAAAGTTTTGAATCAAAAATGTTATACACAAATTCCTTTTTTATTGTTTTCAAAGATAAAACATTTTAATATAATTGGCTGTATTTTTTCAAGAATTGTAAAAAAATTGAAACGTGTTTAAAAAAAGAAATAATAGTGTTATATTTTGATTGAATTTAT